CCATTTCATTTTGACTAATGGTCAGAGAGTTTAAAAATGTCCGTGTGTCCTTAAGCCTATACTGAGCTATGGGATGTTCTGGCCTTGGCAGGGAATGTCTCTTATCTACATAACAATAGGTTTTGGCCTGCAGGTGTGGCAGGATTAAGGGAAGTAAATATCTTTGCCCTTTGTATGTCATCATAGAAGTCTTCTGTCATCTTGTCCTCACTGTTGGTTGAATACACAAGATGGTATAAGAATAAACTAAGGGTGCATTCAGTAGGGATTGAATCTGCCCTCAGGACAACTATTCTGCATCTTTATCTTGGATTCTTAACCCCTGTTTTAGCTAGCCTTTCCCTCATCCACACTCCCCTATTCAGGTACGAACCTGGGGCTGCCCGGCTGGCTCCAATTGCAGCCCCGCAAAGACAGCTTCTGACAAGGGGTCCGTCCCAGTTCAAGTTGTGCCAAGTTACAATGACAGGAAAGGATGAACAGTGGCAACTCTCAACCTGTAAATTGAGCAGAGAGCAGGCACACCTGTCGGCGTCTGCCGGCTGAGTGCGGGCACATGTCACAACATCAGTGTTGTCCCATTAATAAAAAGGAGGTCTGGCATTGGTGCCGTTGACCACTCACCGGGCAGAGGCTCTGCCTTGCCATTATAGTTTATGTGTTCTAGCACCCAAAAGAAAGGATCACAGCTTCAGATCTTTGTGAATTTTCCAAGTGATTTCTACTCCTAGTACTAATGAGGGCAATTGTCATGCACATACATGGCATTCAACTCCCTTCTAGCGATACTGAAAAATTCAAGAGGAACAGGTGGTGTAAATCTTAACAGTATTTTATACTTCACCCAGTGCGTCTGAGACATTATGATTTCCACATAAAATCAACATAAATTATTAATGCACATTTTGCATTCTTTATTCAGGTCCAAGTGTAGGAAATGTCAGATGTACTTACACTTATGGGGACTCTCCCTGATGCTAATTGTCCCTCCATAAATGTTTTATCTGATTTAGATTTGGGGAAATTTGTAGTTGTAAAGCAAATTCAAAAGCTGGTTGTTCAGACTCACTTGAAAGTTATAGCATCCTGGAACTGGACATAGGTTATAACAGTTATTTACATTAAATACAGTTATGAATTTGGCTCCCAGCACAGCTGCTCAATAATTACATGTGGCAGGGTCTGTCCTTCAGACAGGACAGATCCACAACAGCATAGGCAAAGCTGGTGTGATCTAAATATTTTAAAACAACACACATCTTCCCAGAGAACAGATCTCCCATGTCATCTGAGCACCCCCCCCCCGCCACACACACACACACACTGTGAGCAGTAGAGAATGATTTTATATTGCAAAAACCAGTGGCAGATCCCAACATAAAGAGACACATGGCTACTCTGACTCTCTGCTTTCTTCCCTGATCCCTTGTTTACTTCAGGACAGAATCTTGCTCATATGACCTCAGATCTCAGGGACACAGTGACCTGGGAACTCAGGGTCAGGATGTTCTCAGCTCAGACTGGCTGAGTTTGGTAATCCCACATATTTTGTTAATGTCATCTTATTATCTTCAGTTAGTTCAAGATATTTTCCAATTTCCCCTGTGGATTTATTCTTAACCACAAGGCTGGTTCAATACAGTTAGTTCTTCATCCACACATCTGAGGGTCTCCTTGATGTCTGTTTCTGGCTGAGCCTAACCAATTCCCTGTCTTTTGGCTCAGCATGTGGTCCATCTTTGTTGATAGCTGTGTGATCCTGGAAGGAACATGCCTTCCTGTTTACTGAATGAAGGAGTGGATATTCATGCAGCTGAATTAGCTGGTGGATAGTTTCTTCAAATCATCTCTCATCGTCGCCCCCCCCCCCGCTACTGCTAGCAGTTGTTGTGTTAAAATCTCAAATTTTGATAACGAATTAGCCTCTTCAAGTTCCTCCATGTTTGAGTCACATGTTTTAAAGCTGCATACAGTGCATATGCATTTAGCACTCAGTTATGGCCTTGGCGTAATTTGATCTTTTCCTCATTATGGCCTTGTGCTTCTTGCCCTGAAGATCATCTTACCTGGTATTAGTACAGACACTTGACATTCCTGTTCTCTGCATTTCCAACATATATTGTTCCTTTTAAAAGGCTGTCCACTGTTGATTTAACAGTGCGGCAGGAACAGCCAGTCACTGGGAAAGGGAGGAAGCATAGTATGCTGAGCTATATATTCGTGGTTGCAGAGGGAACCAGGTCAGTCCCAGAGCTGTGACTACATAGCTAGCTCGGGCTTAGCCAGTTCCTCTAGCTCAGAACATCTTTCAGTGTGTTTTCAGAGACGGTCCGTGACTTTGAACTCAGTCTGCGTGCTTCATGTGTGGCAGACAGTGAGAAAACGAACCCATTTTAGCCCTGGGAAGACTTTAAACCAGGCAGTTGCCAGATTCGTGGGTGTTGTACGGAGCATCACACCAAACCAGCTCTCTTCAAAGACCTTTCTTTCAGCCCCTCTAGGCTTGCCCTTCCACAACACCTTTCTCAATCCATTCCCACTGGAGTCAATTAAGTGATTTCACCGCGCAAGTTCCCCTTCTTCCTACTGGAGTTCAGTAGGTTACTGAAGCACACTTCAGACTTCTGAGTGAGCGTCTGTGCCTCGCTGCTGCCCTCTCAGTCTCCACAGAGCTGCTGGTCGGCTGTGCTGAGCAGAACTCCTGGTTTGGATTTCTTATTTTCTAGCTCTGCAAACACTCCTCAAACTGCTAATAGGCGATGGAATAGTGAGTATTAATAGTCAGTAGTCTGGATCGGTTAAGCCTCACTGAGACGCGTGGTTAATGTCAAATACTACAGAGTGCCAATCTGTTTTCCTGGCCACAACTATAATGGGGTTTAAAGCCAGTGAATAATTCAGAATTGCGTGTGTTTAAGTGTTAAACAATGATGAAGGACCCATCCTCTCACAGCTGGGTCTAAGCACATGCAGCATCTTCCTTCAGAAATTTATTATTACCTTGTCCTGTATTCGTGACACAGCTACACGGCTATTCCTCAGCTAGGATGGTTAAAAATTATCTCCCTTCTGAAGAAATTTCCGAATATGTTTAGATCAGTGATGGATTTCTTTGTCTGGCTTCCATGACTGTGAAGAATAATGACCCTGCCTTGTCTTGGTGACCCTGGTTTCCTTCGCTTTTATTAACGATTGTAACAGTCACCATCACTATTTGGCTCACTGATTTAAAACTATAAGACAAATGTAAGTGTGCAACAATGAGCTTCCATTCTAAAAGACATTAAGTACTATGACAATATTCTGAATCTCCTTTCTCAGGGCATGAGGGTATGAGCACCGCAGGGTCCCGGAAGCTCACCTGTAACCACACTCTAATGTAACATTCTGTAAAGAGACTGAGGAGGAGGGAGACAAGTCATTCCGCCATGACCAAAGTGTGTGCTCTAGAATGTGTGACTGGGATATGGCTTATAAAATACAAACACAGTCATCCTTGGGATTAAATTCTAGTGACTTGGTGAGTCAGCACGGTTCTGCTGGGTGACCCATGGGTGTGTCAGGTGCTATATGCATATCTCTGCCATTCAGACTCTATAACACTTTCAGTCAGACATTGCTCACTGGGTAAATTAAAGAAACTGATCCATATGCCTGTATGACAAAGTCATGTTCCCACCAAAGGGATCTCACTTCCGGCTTGTGTCTTTTCATGGTAGACTTATTATCTTTTAGCCCAGTTTGTGCTCCCCTCCCCAACATCTGCATCCTCCCATCTCTCCATGTCTGCTGGACCATGATGACCAGCATCCATCACCTCAACAGCCCTTCCAGTGTCCCTAAGCTGAGCACAGTGTCAAGGATGAGCTAGAAGATCCACAGTGCTCACCACTGGGATGTTCAGTGATCTCTTAGCTTAACTCTCTGCTGAGAGTCCTCAGCAGGAAGCCTTTACTCTCCAGTGTGTAGCTCAGACAATTCAGACTTGGAATTCCCAGTAAAACTGAAGATTGGGCAGAGGTGTTTGAACAGCTCTGGAGTATGTTCTTTCAAGATAACCATATCAAACTTGAGAAAGAAGGAAGGACTATTTGCAGGGATATTGAGCTCATAGGTCAACCTGGTAGCTCCACCTGGGTTGCAGATATGCAGTGGATGAGCTGTTAGCACCTGTTGTCACAAAACCAAGCCACTCCAAACCCAACTATAGGCTGGGGTCCCTTTAACCCACTCCCCTGGATACTTTAGTTCCCCAGATACTTTCACTCCTATCCCTTCCTGCCTTTAGCAGCTGGGTCAGAAGATCCCTCTAAAAATAGTTGCTTAACTAATCATTCAAAGACAAAATCATCAAGAGATATTTGAGAGTCTGAAACAATGTATTTTATTTTTGCTGTGTTCTATGCTGTGATATTAAGTTTTTTCTGAATGGTCCCATTTTGATTCATCTTAGGGAATCCTTTCTTTCTTCCCCCAGAGGGAATTTTCATTTTCAGGGCATGAGGGTATGGCTACCACCAGGGACATTATAAAAATGTTGTGTTCTGAAGGGAACCTCTGACCATGGAACCTCTACTTCAAGGTGGAGGTGCCAACCAAAGACGGTATAACACTACTTAGACGGTGCTTTGTGCCACCCGTGCTGGTGGCTCATCCTCTGAGCTCTAGAATGACTAGGAATGTCACGTCTGCTTCTCGGCCTGTGTCCGAGAACGTGCGGAGGGTGTCGGGGATTGACAACACAGAGACTTGTTTAACAATATAAAGAAAACTTTAAACAGGCTCCAAAAAGGTTCAAGAAAACCTCCTAAGAAAAGCTCCCACCAGAGAAGCTTCTGCTCTCTCCTCTACCCTGGCTGGTTCTGCCTGACACCAGAGGTGGATGTGTGTGGGTTTTGAAGGTGCGGTTAGTCTTTGGACAAGGTCGAGGTCAGGGCGGTTTCCGTGGGAAGGCCTTTTCCAGGAACTTATTGTATCGTTTTTAGTAAACATGTTTTTACTAAACATTGTCTTACAGCTGCCTACTCCCAGGCAGAAGGGGAAGTGGGTCTCTGCTCAAGGTTTGGTGTTCCCACATAGGAACACTGCTTTCTCTTCAACACCAGAGAAGCATCCTCCATAGACCTGCAGCTGAAAAAGAACAGAGAGGGACTACCAGGGAGAAGGACTTCACCCTTACTGTAGAACCACACTTCCTCATTTTTAATAAGCTATGGAACTTAAAAAGAAGGAACACAGAAATTCAGGTGTGATTTAGAAGTATTTTGTATGTTCTCAATCATGTCATTTGCATTGTCACCATGACCCCACTATGCATTTATAAAGACATGCTATTTCTTTCTAGAAATACATAATGATGACAAGAAAACTTCAGTTTCACTTTTATGAAAGGAATGGGGAAAGGGACTAGCAGCATTTGTATTTGTGGTCTGTGTTTCCCACTAATAACTACTAGCCTGCCCTTGCAATACAGCGTCTATTGCTCTGTGTCATTTTTGTGTCTCCTAATAAAGTCAATCCCCCCGACTGGTAGACAGCTTTCCAATGCTAATTCTGAAAATGCTCACCTTGAAGTTTTCTGAGCATTGCCCTCCGAGGTAAGCAAGCCAGGAGCTGTTGCAGTGTAGCAATCAATAGCATCTAAACTGCAAGTAACACGTTTTATGACATCTTTCTTAACTTCATTGCTTAAATGCCTATAAGGACAAAGGAAACTCAATAAAGCTGAATTGTCCCATGATGTTTTAAATGGTTAGTTGGCACAAGGACCAGCTAGCTATCCATGGAAATATACCTAAAAACTTAATTTATTTTATTTTAAATTACATAACAGCCCAGGTTCTCACAGCTTTAAACCACTTATGTCTCTCTGCAGTCGTGAGTTTGGTATAGTCAGAAACATCTTCATAATAAAACTAAGGCACATCTATCTTGCTTTTTTTTCTAGTTTGTGTGTCGTCAGCAGAGACTCTCAAGGCTTCACTTGATGACCAGACTCTGAGGGAAGATGTGGGTGCTATCAGTCAAGGTAGGCCTTAGCAAAACAAAAACACCAAAGCGGTAAGTATTAATCTCCTTTGTTTTGAAAAACAGGTTAAGAAAAGTATATCCAGATGTTCTGCTAACCTGTGAACTAGTAATGTGAGTACAATAGCATGCAAAAGATAACACACCAATCTCAAACTTTCCTGGCTTACCTTGCAATACGGAATGACAGTTATGCCGGCGTAAATGAAAGGCAAACATAGTGGTACACACTCCCATCTCCTACCTCTACCCATGGGGCTTCCTGTGTTACTGATGCCATGGTGGCCACTGGCTGATGGTCCAGGCCAAGTTTTGGTTTCTTGGCCAGACTATGTTGACAACTCCCTTTCTTGAGCCAGGGCACAGTGCTGATCGCCTATCACCTGCAACGCCACGATGATGACGGGAGGAGTGTAACTGCGCATGTCAGGAAGGAACACAGGGGGGACTGGAGACCCAGAGGTGACACTCTGGTAGAGCTAAGTTTGTCTTGGAGAAAAATAGAAAGCTTTGTACTGAGCTCTGGTCACTTTACGGAGGGGTCGAGAGGAGAAAAGCCACAAAGACGTAGAAAAATAGAGGAAAGCTTATCCTTGGGAAAACCACAGAAAGTTCTTCACATGGCCTCAGAGCACCTGAGAGCAAGTGAAAGACTGAAAGGAGGACCCTGCAAAGATGGTGACAGAATGAGAGCCCTTGTCCTTCTGCTTGCTCCCCTGTCCCCACCGACAGGAGATAGGGCCCAGAGGAAAGAGGGGGGGAAGCACCTACAGATCATTAGCTTTCTTCCCTCCACAGCATCCGCTTATCTCCATGGCAACAGCACACCTATTGTCTCTACCTTTCAACAGGAATCTTATTGTCTTAGGTCATAAGGTCCCGGATTAAATATGACACATAACCAAACCAAAACATTAATTTTTCGATCACTTGAAAGGTACCAGGTATCGTAGTATACGCATATACACCATCACAATTTATCTTTTATGTGAATGCCAAATGCTGACATAAAATACATATGCAACTTGTACTAGCAATAGCTATCAATGTGGACGCTGTTCTTAGTCAGTTTAGTGCTTAGAACAATTGAGCATCAATGTCTGTATTTTTGAAACAATTGAAGTTATGGTTCCATTGTTTTTATCAGACTCCAGAGTCATGTCATCTGAACATGTCTATGAAATATTATCATGCTGGAGTCACCTAGATTACAGCAAAATCTCACTTCTGCACTGTGAAGTTCTACACCTGGGAGGCTAATAGGCTTAGTCTACATTGTGGGGAAGCACCACACTTGGTCGCATCAAAGTGTGCACAGAGACATGACACTCGGGTTGTCCAGCAGATGCCAGCTCTGTTCCTGTGTGTCCCCTCTTCTCAGCAAAGCCAATGAGTGTGAGGCTTTGACTTTCCTCTTTCTTTAAATGCAGCATGTAAATGGCAGACGAAAGTGACCTCCAGTTGTGTGGGGAAAAGAGAAGGCTCTGCCAAAGCAACTTGAGCTGATTGCTCAGAGGGATGAGGGTCTGGAGATCTTAGTCAGAAGCCGCACAGGAAATGGAAAGAGAGCTGTGAGCCCAGGAATCGAGCAGTAGGAGAGTTTAACGAGATATGACATTCTAAAGTATCTTCTGGAAGTGATTTTTAGAGTGAGCTTTAGATTGTGCAACTTAAAGTTTCAGAAAACTCAGAGCCATTTTGTGAGAAATTGATCTGGAGCAGAACCTGTCACCACTGTTCTTTCCGGTGCCAGGGAAGGCTGTCTTTGCTGACTCCTTATGCTTGATTAAAAGAAAGGGCTGCTGCTATTATTCAGGTAGATGAGATACAATAACAGCAACAAACACTGTTGCTTAAGAAATGAATCTGGGGAAAATATAAAAAATAATGAGAATCTCACTTGTGTTGCCAGAGAGAAATGGAGTTTGGTGAAAGAAGCTTTGCATGGTATTCTGGGTAGCACGCATGAGCTCTTCTCTCTAGAGCAATATAACTGAACAGAGGCTGACGTATGAAATACGTGATTCCACATTGCCAGCCTTACCTGGCACACAGTAGGATAGCACTCCCATCAACACAGCTTCCTGAGGGCATTAGAGTTGGAGTTTTGCTTTCCATTTCTCTTTTCAGTCTAAGAGTAGGTCTTGTTGAACAAAGCCTGGATTGTTAAGTCCTTTGGATTTTTCCTTTTCTTTCTTTTTTATTTTAATGTTCTGTGTGGTAAACACCTACATTTGATTGGCCTTGTTGCCCCCCTCCCCCGTTTTTTAAACAAAAGAATTGTGCATTTCATTTATAAGGACAGGAAATTACTCCTTTGATAATTATGGTATTTTTCAGGTGATAAGTACTTAAAATTGCAAATTGGTCCTACCATCACTTGCCTAAATATAAGTCACTTATTTTCCAAAGATGTCATCTCTCTCTCTCTGTCTCTGTCTCTGTCTCTCTCTCATACACACACACTCTGTCTCTGTCTCTCTCACACACATTGTCTCTGTCTCTCTGTCTCTGTCTCTCTCTCTCTCACACACACACAGACACACAGACACACACACACTAGTACAATCACATTAACCCTGTTGCATTATCTACTTGCCTTTTGAGTCCCCTTAGAATAGGATGTCAATGAGAATGAAGTAAAATCCATCTTATATAACAACTACATTATCAGTACCTAACCCAGAGCCTCAACATGGCACCGAGACCATGAGCACCTATGCCTTGAAGGAGAGCAAAGGGTATAGGAGTGTATGGACATAGTATCCTGTGAAGCATGGTTTTGCAGGAAATCATCTAGCACAGGAAAATCTGAGTTGTCCAGTGAGATGTGAGATTTATCCTGGTGCCAAGTTCCCAATCCATTCCACATAGAACACCCTGCTTGTAGTGTTGACATTGGGAAACCAGGCAGGGTTGGCTCCTCTGTGGGCATCTGCACACCTCCTCTTTCAATAGAAGGAGACTAAAGTGTGGAGATGGCATTTCATCAGCTTCTCCTTTGTTGGATTATAGGTGCAGCTTCCAGTCTATAGGTGTTGTTCTCTAAGAGATGAGATACTTGGAAGGGAGGGGACAACTTCTGTTATATAGATACAGACAGCAGGGTTGTCAGATGGAAATAAAGGAAGGGGATGTCTAATTTATTATAAAATTATTATAATTTGTTATATGAAATTCAAATACTGAATATCTTTTTTATAAAATGTTAAAGCAGAAAGCTAGCAGAGGTTTTAAACTGCACAGATTTCAGTGAAAGGCAGCACACTGTATTCTAAAGCAAAGCATAGATAGAAAAGGCTGTGGTTTGTGAAACACGCTGACGTCTTCCTGCTGCTCAAGCACATCAGAGCAACTTTGCCAGAGGGATCCTAAGGGAAACAGTAGAGAATGGAAATGTTTTTAAATTATGAAGAACAATACAAAGATATAACTAATAAGAGCATATAAACCTGACATTTAAGAAGAATATTAAACAGACAGTCCAAAACCAGAAAACATAATTAGGGGTCAGGAATATATTACAATGTAATGTCATGCATTTCATGGCAGTGGGCATGAGATTAAATACCCTAGGCTGAAGTCACTACAACTCTATTATGTCATTGGCTTAGAAAGCCTGGACAGATCCGTTCATTTTCTACACATTATCAAATTCACTGAGAGAGCAACCAAAAATTTAGGAACGATGATTGAAGGTACCCCACTTGAAGAAAGGAGGACTTAGCATTAACTGAAGCTTAAAACAGCTTATTGCCCCTGCTGCTGCAGATAACTGGAATTTGGGGCAGTTCTGAAGTAATTTTATACCACAAAAACTTCCTAGGGACATAAGATAAATAACCCCCCCAAAAATCAAAGGAAACTCAACAGACTGATACCTTTGTGGGAAATCCTCCATGCACCTGTTATATAAGTACCTTAATTTTCCAGACCTTCACTGACTGCTCAACGGAGACAGACATGCTATTCCGTCCCAGGAGGCCAGTTTACCTGATCACAGTTTACTCTCTCCTCTCCTACTGTTCTATCCCCCTCCTCCTCTCTGTACCCTCCTAATCCATTTCCCCTCTATTTCTATCCAGAAATGGGCAGGCCTCCCATGGATATCAACAAAACAACAAAACATGGCATATCAAGTTGAGGTAAGGCTAAGCATCTTGCTTTGTATTAAGGCTGGGTAAGGTGACCCAGTATGAGGAATGGGCTCCCAAAAGGCAGTCTAAACATTAGGGACAGCCCCCAGTTCCACGGTTAAGAGTCCCACAAGTAGAGCAAACTACACCACTGTTACGTATATATAGAGGGCCTAGGTCTATCCTATGCAGGCTCTCTGGTTGTCAGTTCAAACTCTGTGAGTTCCTATGAGCCAGGATAGTTTCTGTGGGTTTTCTGATGGTGTCCTTGACCCCACTGTCTTTTAGAATCCTTCCTCCTTCTCTACAGCAGGGTTCCCTGATCTCAGTCTAATGTTTGGCTGTGGTCTGCATCTGTTTATACCAGTTAACTGGATGAAGGCTCTCTGATGACAATTGGGCTAGTCACCAGTTTATGAACGTAGCAGAGTATCTTTAGGCACCATCACATTGACTTCTTTTTCCACTGGCCATTTTTGGTTCTAAGCTCATCTCTGGGCTATGTGACCTCTGCATTCTGGTACTCCAGGCAGTGTCAAGGGTGGGCTCACTCTCATGCCATGGGTCTCAGGCTAGACCAGTCATCTTTGAGTATAATTAAACGTTAGGGCTGAGGCCTGCATTGCTCTTTCCAGTTCTCTAACCGTTCTGGACCCAGCTAGACTCCTGCAGGGTCTGAAACAGGGATGCCCTTGTCTTCATTCAGCAAGGCCTATAGACAGGACACACAACTTGGAACTGGACCTGTGATTTGTCATTGTCTTTACTTATGAGTATGGCTCAGTCAGTAAAGTGCGTGTCCTGTAAGTATGAGGATCTCCAGTGCCCATGTAAAGTACTAGACACCAGATCTGTAATTCCAGCGATGGGGGTAGACACAAAGGAATGCCTTGAACTTACTGGCCACAGAGAGCAACTGATGACTCCTGCACTCACACAGCACTGCCCCCCACCCACCTCCCTCCTCACGTACACACACACACACACACACACACACACACACACACACGGGAAGGGGCAAGAACACAAGCTGATCAGTTCATAATTCTGTCACAGATAACAGATTTTGGTATTAACTTTATTCCTATCATCTCATAAAGGAGAAATCCCATCAGCTCTGCTGATGGTGCTCTGGGATGACAGTGACATTCTGTTGTCTCAGCACAGTCCAGCGTAGTCCTAGGAGTCAGATGTGCAGCAGTGAAGTGCCTGTGGCTTCCCTACACTGTTAGTGGGACATCTAGCAGAAGGTGACCTGAAGACCACTGTGGACTAAGAGACACAGACTTGCCCCCTTGATGTCACACAGTGGCAACCTCAAGCTGGGGGCCTGGCTGAGAGCTCTATGTCTGAGCCTATTCCTGCAGCAAATTTTAGCATCCATAATAAGGCACCTGGGAGGAAGGGGGCATTATAGGTACTAGAAAACAGACACTCAGCTTATGTTCTTACTGATTTATCGGGAGCATCTGAGTCTAAGGGAGTGAAAGCTGGAGTTTTAGTGACAAAACAGTACAGAGATGATGCTATGAGATTCCTGGCCTGGAAGCAGAGGGGTACACATATGCTGCCCACAGGAAGTTATTAGTCGGGTGGTACAGTTTCCTGAATGTGGGTGGGGTCAGCTCCTTCCCACTCCCTGTCTGTCCT